GGAGTCATTGTTACATCTAGGTAACAGTACTCTTGAACGACTCTCAGTTGTTGTCCATTAATTAACCAATTTTCGTCGATTCCAACCTTTCTCCCTCTTCTGAAAATTATCATTTTTGACTTATCCATACTGACTTCCATGTTCCATATATTGCAGTACTCGCCCAGTTTTCTCTGCACTATATTTATATCGTCTGCCAGGATCACAATGTCATCCGCATACATAAGAAGTCGTATATTGATTTATTCTATCCAAAGTCCTCATCCTAGAAAGTCATGCAAGTCATTGAGGTATAGAGCAAATAGCAGCGGAGAGAGAAAATAACCTTTTTTACCGCGGAATGCGTTTCGAAATCGTCGGATAGCTCGCGATTTATGCAAACTGCCGCTATTGTGTTTTTGTACAATCTCAATAAATCTCACCGCTTTAGGAGCCAAGTAAATAATTTTTATATCAGAGATTTGTGATCCGCCTTATCAAATGATGCCCTAAAATCGACAAAGAACGCATATACTTTTTTGTTCTCGCTAAAGTTCAATTGTACGACTGCCGAAAGGTTATGTATGTTGTCTGCAGTAGAGTAGTTCCTCCGAAACTCATTAATGAAATTATTACTTCCCGATCGTAAATATAACCTCTCACTTAATATGTACTCCCATAAATAGTTTCCTTATGCAGTTCATAAACGATATAGTTGTAAATGCTCGCAATACTTTTGTCTCCATTTCACAAACGTCTCGTCTATTTCACATTCGTCATAAATTGAATTATAGGTTTTAACTGTTTCCTCTAGAAATATTTGGGGAGCATGTTTTAGATACTCATATGGTACGGTATCTTCGCCAGCCGCCTTGTTCGGTTTGACTTTTCCCAACACCGCCTTTCCTTCTTAAATTGTGATTTTTGCATCAACTCTATCATCTGTAGTGTACATCGCCGCGTACTGAATGTCATGCGAAATCTGATGAGGGTTTAGGAGAATCTTAAAGTGATATCTAAGAAGAGATTCTGATACAGTCTATCCTCTTATTTCTCGTGCTACTCTCCACCAGCCGTTGCTGTTTTTAATACTATCCATGGTACGCTGTAAACGTCCATAATAATATTGCCGAGCTTTTTAACATATGTTTTTATATCTTTTGAACGCTTTTAAGTATTGTGCTCTACTCGTGTTATCCCAAGCGTTGCCATACGGCCAGAGTTCCTTATAAGCAGTTTTTTTTTTTGCTTGTGAGCATTTGACAGTAAACCACTTTTGGTTTTGTCTTGATGAGGTCTACCGCCTCCCCAAGCCATACACCAAGCTCTCTAACTTCGCTCTCACGTTTTCAGCCAATTGTTCTTTGTAGCGTTCAGGCGACTTTTCCTTCCAAAAAAGTTTTGGTAGGCCTACAACGTGTTTGTCTTGGTATCTCTGTGACTTTTAATTTTATACTCAGCACAATAGGCAAACTTAAAGTATCTATATGCCAGTAGTGCCTGTGATACGGCGCATACATCATTTACTACAAGCGTAAATTCACCCAATTGGTCACCACCCCATAATCCTCAAACAGTTGAATAAGCTCTTTACCTCTAGCGTTTTGTGTTGTGTCCTTAGACTTTCTCTCTCGCGGTGGGATCAGTATAAGTATTGTCGGCATATTTCTGTAAACTTCCTCTCCTAATGTTCATGACTCCTATAAAAATCGGGTTAATCAGCTCTTCCTCTCTAAACAAATTCTCAAGATTTTCGTAGTCGCGTTTCGATTTCGCGGTATTTAGCCAAGACCTATACATATATAAACCTTGGTATTAAGCAAATTTCTGCCGGTAGCCGGTGGTCCCTTCTTTTCAAAATTCCTCCTAACACATATCAACATACCGCCACTTTCTCGACCATGTGTTTTTTCCTTCACTGCCTAAAAATTTTTAAGAATTTATTTCTTTCCCCATAACTACGTGAGTTTCAAGAACAGCGAACATTTAAAAAGATTTTACATATTTAAACAAATTTCAGTATAAAATTTTGTTTTCTAGCCCATGTACATTATATGACAATTTTGTTAACTTGTCTTTTTTAATAACTGCATCGTTAATGCAAAATATAATATGATACGAAACTCTTTCTCTCGTGAGAGCGCTGTAAAAGGTGCATTTTTATAACATCCCCCAATATTGCCACATCAGCGAAATACATATGGGGAGAATTACTGAGTGAATTTTGGTGAACTTTTTCATTTAACAAAACAAGCAAATGTTTTGGAATTTTAATGTCTTCTTCATTATTTATTGTTAAAAATTATCATTTAAAATGTGTTTTCTTCAAATCGTTATCTTTAAGCAAGATTTTGTAATGTGATTGCAGGAAATCCATTGAAATTAATTCGGCGCGTTTTGTGTGTATCAAGAGCTCGCTATTTTGCTTGTCAGCTGTTCAGTCCAACTTTATTTGACAGTGCTACAAATTCAGAAAACGAGTTTAAGCTACTCGGAAGCAAAATGAGAGAGTTTCTTATCATGTCATCCTTGCTCAATGCTACAAGTATTGCTTGCAATTTGTTTTTTTCTTTTACTTTTTCTAGCAATATTCCATAGCTTATATGTTCTACTTTGAAGCAATATCCATATAAATTTTTCAAAACTACATCTGCTTCCTGTTGGCCACACATCAGGATTCTCCTTCTAGAACATTCGGTTGCCTGCGACGTTTATAGGATCATCTCGTACAGAAATTTTGTCTGATTTGTTTTTCTGCAACAAGCAAAAGTAAGAAGAAACTAATATTTGTGATCATATGGTGGAGTCAATGTCAATGTTACTGTGGCTTGTTAACATTTTATTTTTAATATTTTTATTGAGCTTTGTACCACGATTGTTTGTTAGGAAAAAATGAAAAAGCAACAAAGTCTAAGCGGTAGAAGTTATAGCAGCTATTTCGGAGATCACCACAGCTCCTCATCAGTCTTCTTTTTTCTATACTTCAGCAGAGATCGAACCTGCGTAATCGAGTATAATCTATTTAAAAAGGGGGATGAGAGTTGTTAGTTATCTCGAAAATAACTTTCAGTTTAATAAAAACAAATTAGAATGATTGAATGGCTTTTGCCTACAACTTACAAATTTACTGACATTGTAAGAGCATATCGGTTAACTGCAGTCCTTATTTTCGTGCGGAATCATAAAAGGCCTCGAACAATTACCAAGATCTGGTACCTAGTTTTAAAGCATTTAAAAAAGTATTTAATAGGTTTTGGTTAGAAAAATATTATATTTTCGCGTGTAAGTGAGTTAAAGAAGGCGTTTTTGGTTTAGTGTATAATTATTTATTTCTTTAATCACGATTAAGTAAAAAATGCATTGGAAGGCACATCATTGCGAAATCTCTTATTTCAACGCCTTCAAACCAATAGATTAGCTGTTAATTTAAATCAGTGGTGCACACGGGAGTCTCCGGGAGCTACTCGGCTTTCACAAAAGCGTTCTATATTGGTACAGTTTTTTTAAGTTACTCGTCAGCGCATCAGTAACATGGCTGACGATGGTTGTATCGTCACTTTTACTGACGATGACGATATTCAACATAGGGCAGAATATTCATGAATTAAATAGAAAAAATTTAAAACGCGAATTTATTGCATGAAGAGAAAGGGTGATAATAACCTAACCAAAGGCATGTGAAATGGACCATTTTAAAAAGAATTGGACCAGTGGACCAGACGAAAAGAAATGGACCAAATTTGGTCCATTTGGACCAAAACGGCAACTGTGGTCGTGTGTGCGCAGCTGCTGAACATATGCGCCGCTAGCAGTCGGTCAGTTTGCGTTTGTACTTCATGCTGTAAGCATCACATGCCCGAGCTGTTTTGCTGAGTACACACATACAGATACAACAAGTAAGAAAGTCTAAGTTCGGGGGGAGCCGAACATTAAATACCCGGCGCAAGTATTTAATATATGATTTTCACGTTTCCGAAAGCTACCACTACATGGTAAGCCGAAGTGTATCAATTTTGAGTAAATTAGCGTCCTTAAATTTAGAAATATTGAAGTTTCAAGCATTTCTGTAATTTGCCGTTATATGAAAAGCGGCCTCAATTTTAGTCCGATTTCAATCATTTTCAACGTTTTGCTTTTATGTGGCAAACATAATAACCATACCCAGTTTGGTACAAATTGGTAGAACGGTTACCGAGATACATATATGTGATCAAAAGTAGGCGGTGCCACGCCCATTTTCCAAAATTTTATCATAAGCGTATTTCTTGGTTAAGAATTTTTGCAAGCATAAATTTTGAATAAATTAGCTTTAATATTTACTGATTTATCGAAGATTTTGCATTTCTCTAAATTACCGTTATATGGGATGTGGGCGTGGTTATTGTCCGATTTTAAAACTTTTCGGCAATTTGGTATGGTGTACCAAGGCCAACAACTTTGCCAAGCTTGGAAGTAATTGGTGCAGCGGTTACCAAGATATACACATGTAAACATAAGTGGGCGTGCACAAGTGCGCTCGGGTATAAAAATGTTGCGCTTGTATTGGGAGCTCTGCCAACGCTGTGCACCACTGATTTAAATTAACGGTGTCTCCAATGTCATTGATTTATTTTCCGTTATACGGGGTAAGTATAATGTACTTCTCTTTCAATTATTGAAAACTCATTTAAAATAGGGTAAATAATTTAGTCATTCAAGTTTTAATGTTGTTTACATTCACGTTAGTGCGTAGACTCGGAGAGATTACTTAGTCTACTATCAAGAGTAATGCAAACAGCTTGTTGTTGAGGTAAAAGGCAAACTTCTCAATTTACCACAGGGGTTCAGTTGTTTTTTTAATTATGTCGAACTCATGGAATTCCCAGCTTTGTATAATTGTGTAACTTTTCACTGTACTCAACAAAGTTACCGGACTTTCCATTTCTCTCACTTCGGAGTTTTATTTTTTTGAGGTCAATTCCCTTTAGCGTCACTCAGATTTGTATGTATTTTTACGCATCTAAAATTTATTTCTCTTTCAGACAAAACACATTTCCTTCGGCTGCGATCGAGACATCACCAACTGCTCCACGGGTCTCTCTTTGATTGACTTACTGCCCCGTAATGCTGAGTGGACAAAAGATCTGAGTTGTGATGAGGGATTCGAACCAGTTTTTCATTTCGATGGCTCAACCGGCGTGATTGTGCCTAATGCTTTGATTACACACCATGACTTTTCGACGCGCTCGTTCAGCATAGTCACCATTTTCAGGCACTACAGCCTGGCGACCGCCAGCAAACACATCAAAGAGCACTTGATATGTAGCGCTGATGATCACAGAATGAACCGTCACCACATGGCGTTATTCGTTCGAAATTGCCGACTGATTTTATTGCTGCGTAAAAATTTTAATGATGGCGACCTAAATATTTTCAGTCCTGCCGAGTGGCGTTGGAAGATTCCGCAGGTATGCGACAACGAGTGGCATCACTATGTGCTAAATGTTGAGCAATCATCTAAAGTGGAGTTATACATTGACGGCGTGCGGTTTGAGAACTCCGTGGAGGACCGCCACAGCAATCCCGAAGTGATAGACGATTGGCCACTACATGCGGCGCACGGTGTGAACACGACCCTAGCCGTGGGCGCATGCTACCAAAGTTCGGAAACCCGCTTGAAACACGGCTTCAAGGGTGACATTTCTGTAATAAAAGTATCGCTCAATTCGGTGCAGTCGCCAGAAGACGTCCGCTGTGGCACCAACTGTGCCGAGCATTTGCTGCCACCACCAGAAAGTCTGCTAGAAGCCGACTCGCAGGTACAAACCAATGCGCAAATGAACGAAATCTATATTGAGGGTCAGAGTATAAGCAACGTAGAACAATTGCTGCAAAAAATTCAATACATCAATACCAAAGAGAGTCCCACAATCGGCCGAAGAAATATTGAAGTGCGCACGACCCTGATGTGCATCAACCAAAGCGCCACGCGACTACCGACTATTGAGACCTACATAATGGTGAATGAACCCGGCCAAATGGTACTGGCAGGGCGGTTAGCCGGTAACAATAACGCCATTTTTAATAGTGTCATGAACGTTGGAGAGTTGAAGGATAAATTTGGGACAGTAACAGACACACCATTTGCTAAATTGTCGTCACCGGTAACTAACGCACCGAAGGATGTTATCAATTCAATGGAGCACAAATCGTTGGATGCTCACAGCGAGGAAAAAGCCAAAATTATAATAAACGGTAAGCTATATCGTGCAAATGTAAAATCGACCGATGGTCCTGATAGGTGGGATTAAGGCGGTTACCATAGACACACTTAGACCATGGTATGATAATTGCTAAAGTGAAAAACCTGTCCGTAGTTTCACAATCGCCATATGTAAGTATCAGAAAACTCCTCAGAACTATTTAAAAATAACGATCCAATGCATTTGGGCTGTAGCAGCGCAAAATCTGGCTTGTCCAAGGAAAAGTGGAGAGATGATTCCACCTTACGTCCTGTAAAATGCTGAAACACTGAATATTCGGTGTGATATTAAGTGCTACTGCTTGAGTACACATCGAAAGATCCCTTGACCGGAACCGGTCCACCATGTTAAAGATAGTAGGCATTCTCTACTAGCTTTCTATTCAGTATATTCAGTCTATGATTACAATCTTACAGACTAGATAACAGATAAGACAATGATAATTAAAACTAAATACTATAGATTTAGATACACAAGTAGTTATAAGAGAAATTAATAAATAGACTATTTGCATATACATATTTCTCGCCAACGAAAAATCAATACTTAGACCTTTGAGATCTTGTTAAATTCTGCAAGAGCACGGAAAATTTACCAACAGCTATATCATAACCAAACATAAGCAACTGGACAATTCTTCTAGTTTCAAGAGTTTGTAAGTTAATAAGCTTACACCGCGAATTACAAGATGGCATCGGGTCATCAAAATTGAGGGAACTTAAAGCAAAACGAACAAAGTTGCTTTGCACTATTTCGATTCTGGTGGCATATTAGCCGTCCATATAATAGAAGTGTACTAAAGAGATAAATAACGCTTTCTTAGAGTAGGGATCCTTAAAGTCGTATGCATATTTATTTACTTCTTTGTATAGTCTACAGAAAAATGTTTTCTTACAAACAAGCGAGATAAAAAGATTTAGATATTTAAGTATGTATGATATATTACAGAGTAAAATAATTATACATATTCATTTGTAATAATAATAATAACAATATAAAATAGCAAGTTGGGTAGCTGGCGAGGCCTAGTCTCCAGTCTATTTTTGTGTGTGGCGGGCGGAAATACTTAATTCCCTCTCCGCGCTGTGGACAAGCTCTCATGGTTGGAAAGGCCGAGTTTCCGCTCCATGGTTCCGAAGTCATTACGTTATATGTGAGGCAGGCGGAAAGGCCTAGTTTCCGCTCCGCCCTGTGGACGAACTGTTGGGCTTGGTCAGAAAGACCGAGTTTCCGATCCATGCTCGTATTGTCTTAAGCGGTCGCGAAAATATACGAAGCTGTTACAATTATACTAAGCAGTCATAGATATTGTGTAATTTTTTCGTTCCCGGTTAAATATATTAATTTATTTATTTAACATGTGAGGAAAGTTTTCTTTATTACAAAACGCGATTCAGATTTGTCGAAGCAATCATAATGCTTGTTAAAGTCTTGGCATAAACCACAAAAAGCATCATGCATTTTTAAATTTTGATTTACAAATACTCAACACAATAGGTTTAAAATATCTCGAGGGTCCTGCAGGAGTACAAAAATTTATCTCACTCAGTAAAAAGGAACTACTGCCCATCCCGTTCATTAGTTTAATTAAAAAAAAGGACCCTAAGCATCTCTCTACGACTTTGAATGTCGGCAAATCTATAAGCTTCAGGCGATCTTTGTAGGGTGGGAGATTTTTAGACGAGTCCCAACGTAAATGTTTTAGGGCAAATAACAGGAACTGTTTCTGCACTGATTCGAGCCTGTCACTATGAATTTGATAACTAGGATTCCATACTACAGATGCATATTCCAAAATCGGTCTTACTAGAGAGGTAAAAAGAACTTTAGTGACATAAGGATCGTTGAGCTCCTTACTCCAGGGCTTAATAAAAGCCAACACTTATCTAGGCCTAATCACGCAGGAGTTTATGTGAGACTTCTAGTATCTTCTAGTTTCGGATCCATAGTTACACCTAGGTCAATGAAATTGGTTACTTGCTCAACATTGTGGTCAGATATCATATACGAATTTGAGTGGAACGATTTTCTAGAGAAGAACATGCATTTACACTTTTTCAAATTGAGTGACATGGAATTGGCTTCACACCACTAGAAAATGCTAGTTAGGTCAGCTTGCAAATGCTCCCTATCTTCTGCACTACTAATGTACTTAAAGAGCTTAACATCATCAGCGTACATTAAGCATTTCGAATAGCTCAACACCTTAGGAAGGTCATTTATAAATAAAATAAACTAGAGGGGACCAAGATATCCGGACGTGACATGTATTTCCCGAGAAGTACAATTTTCAAAAATTACTCTTTGTTTGTTTCTATCTACTAAGTAAGAAGAAAGCCAGCTGAGAATAATAGGAGGGAAACCAATTCGATCAAGTTTATATATAAGGGTTGAATGTGATAATTTATCAAATGCCTTGCTGAAGTCAGTGTAAATCACGTCCGTTCGTAGATTGTTCTAAAACCCATTAGATACATAAGTAGTGAATTCAAGTAGATTAGACACAGTTGACTTACCTTTGAAAAAACCGTGTTGCGATAGGTCAATAGCAGAAGTAATAAAGTGAGATAGTTTTTCCGTAACGATTGCCTCAAAAACTTTAGGAATAGCACAAAGCTTCGCAATTCCTCTATAGTTTACTATGTTAGTCCTACTTCCGTTTTTATAAAGTGGCAAGATAATCGAATCCTTCCAGGAAGATGGGAAGACACCCTGTTTTAGGGAAGCATTAAAAATATTTGTCAGAGGCTTATACAAATGTTCTGCACAACTTTTAACGACACTTCCTTAACAGGAGGAATGATTTTTACTGAAAATATGGCGTATGGAATTGCTAAAATGTAAGTCATTATCTTCAGCATTCAGCAAATTATCTTCGATACCTCTAACCTAAGTTTACTATAATCTGCAGTTTTAAATGAGTAACGCTCCGCCCTTCTAGTGGTGGGTGGTGAAAATCACCAGATGTAATCAGAGCATAACTACGCGCTACTGTGACTTTGGAAACGTCATCCACAAAACCTAAATCCAGACATTTACCTAAATTATTACTAATAGAGTTGATCTGGTAAAGACGTAGGTCTGAAAGATCGTTCAAAAATTTATTGAAGAGATCACGAGAGTAATTTGGTACTGAAATACCATCTATTACATTCCAAGAAACACCCGCAAGACCGAAATCAGCCAGGACAATAACAGTGTCGGAGGGCTTCACCATGACATGTAGAGAGGGTAGTAAGGAGGAGTGTTTTAAATAAACAGAAAGGCTCGAGTTAAATGGTATATAAGTAGCAACAAGATAAGTGTTTATAAGTGTTATTAGAATGATATCTTATTCGAACGCAGAGGAATTCAGCTTCATCGGTGTCAGTGAACTCAATTTCTTCAGAAGAAAGGTCAGTCTGGACAGCTATTAAGACGCCTCCACCTTTTTTTTATTTAAACGGTCATTTCGAAGCACTCTTACTTAGGACACAAAATTTCAGAGTTGAACACATTCGGCTTGAGCCAGGTTTCAGTAAACACCAATACTTTGAGGTCAAAGTCATGGGACTATAAGTGTAACCTCGATAGCTTTGTGTTCAAAACTCTCACATTTTAGTAGTAAATGCTAATGGTGAGGTTACTTACTAATTTTTTTATGCCGAGGTGGAAGGCGGAAATTGAGCCAAATTTTGCCCTTGCGGTCTAGATCTAAATTCAAATTCGCGAATGAAAGCACCGCTTGGCCAAAAAGATGGGCTCATTATTCAAAACAGTCTTCGGATATGTCTATTTTGAAAGAAGAAATGCTTCTTTCTTAGGCGAATCTGAACTTACGTACATGCAACTCATATGCTTTTAGCTTGGATGTTAAATACCCCTTCACATCATCGACAGTGGTATCTTTTGAGAACCTAGATGCAAATACCGATTTTTTGGAAGGAACAACGACTAATTCCCTCGGGACGGGGTTAACGTAATCGGTTTCAGATGTTGTAGGGGGTTGATGTGCAGATGTGGAGTTTTTGGAAACAGCAACGATGGTTTCAGATGTTGTAGGGGGTTGAGATGTAGCTGTAGAGTTTTTGGAAGGAGCAACGACTAGTTCCTTCGGGATGGTGTTGACGCAATCCGTTAAAGTACAAAACCGCGTATCGTCGTTCTGCAAAACCGCGTAACTAAAATTTTTTGCCAAAAATTTGATTTGCTCACAAAAGCTCTTGGTTCAATCCTTATTCATTCTTCCTGAAATATACTAGTCAGAAATGCGATTGCTTTATAAAAAAAAGAACGATTTTGAAATACGAATGTTTTTACTCTCTAGAAAATAATTTATGCGACCTCACATACGCGGTTTTGCATTATCTTTATACGCTGTTTTGCATTTTGTTGATACGCGGTTTTGTACTAGTATAAACGATGATAAGAGATGTGATTAACTACTAACTCAACGAACTCTTTTATGGAGGCTAACCTAGTGCTAGAGATATTGTTATTAGAAAAAAAAAAATGTTTGAAGATTTTGAGAAGGACATATGAAAGCATTTATTAATATTTAAGTAAAGCTGGTTGATATTACACCAACTGATCAGGTTACTCAGATCGTGTTGCAGAAAAGAAACATCCGACAAGTTTAATTCTACAAAAAAGTTTGAGGTTTGAGTTAAATTTGTAATAGGAGCCGATGTCATTTATAAAAATAACGAACAAAAGGGGTCCTCGGATTCTGCCTGGGGGGAACAGCTGATGTTGCCACAAAAGAGTGGGATATACAGTTTTCGGCTTCAACAAACAACGTCCTATTAGACAGATAATATTTAAATCATTTTAGAAATGCAGAGTGAAAGCCGATAGACTCAAGTTTAAGCAATGAGATTGAGTGAGAGACCTTATCAAAGTCCTTCGAAAAATTGAAATGGTATCCACCTGAATACCATCTTTGAGAGGTGATACACAAAATTAAGAGAAAGATGCCAAGTTAGTAACAGTGGAACGCCCGACAACAACCTG